TGTAGACAAGAATGACTCCTAAGCGATTGAGGTCTTCTGTTGTTGGATGTAATAATGAACATAGCAGTTTTCATTTACTCCCGACATCTGAGCCGCTGAAGACGCAGTGGATTATGTTTGTTTTTGAAGGGAATGCGCCCCCGATCTACATAAATGCGTCTATGTTCGCGCGAATCATTCGTGATCCAGCTTCACCTACAGAAGAAGTGAGTATAAGGTTTTTTTAACAAATCTTTGCAAATCACCTTTCCTACTAATATGCAAATTAGCAAGTTTCACGATGAATGCAGCAAAAGTAAACAGTCTCTCTGAGAGCGGCTCGGAAGAGAGGGTCGGGGTCAGCAGAGCTCATTAACATTGAAAGGAAAATACTACAAATCTGCATGCTCTGAAAAGAGCTGTTTTTGAAAGGGTAAAAAAGGTGTTTTTTTACACTACCATTGAGAAATTTTAACCAAACTATTTTACAGACTTTTCATTAAGACCCTAAAGAATCATATCAACTTGTGGAAAATGGGTATCCTTTCACCCCTTTAATTAAAGGAAGCCAGGAAACACTGGCTTCTAACAACGCCTTGGGGGGGAAAAACTATAGCAGTGCTTCAAAATACAACTAGTTATCTAATAAACTTGATGAAAAATTTTGAAACCGAAGAATATCTATGTATCCATTACCACAGGAACCTTACCGAAGAGACAGCCCAGATGCATGACAAATCTCAAAGTAAAAACTATTTCTGGCCTTTAAAAAGTGGTGAAATTCATGTTTTTGAATGTGCAGTAAGACTATTGATCAAGAGATCCTGGAGAATCTAATGTACATGAAAATAACAGGGGCCGGTTGCACCAGCCAGACGTAAAAACGCTGGGCTTTGCAACGTCCTGCTTTACGATAAATATTTACACCTGTTGCACCAACTGAAACTACTATCAGGCGCGACTACGCCCGGCGTAGACAATGCGCGTCCACGCCGACACATTCTCCCTCAGTTATAGATATAGCTGAGACGACGTTCACGCCGCAATGGCTACAACTACTAATATAGAACTGAATTGCTCAAGACATAATATAAGTGAAATCACCGCGCTATGATTTCATTGAGTAAACATTTCCTAACAAGTCCGCGTTTTTATATCTGAAGTCTCCCTGCACATTCCCAAGACAGATTTCATCAAGGTGTAGTGAATGTGATGTTGTGATATTTGGATCACGTGTCACTTAAGGTGTGGTTATGAGTACATCACATAAGAAAGATTGGTGGGGTCTCTAACTTGTAGAACCTTTCTGTATCATCAACACAAGGAAGACACAAGTGTAATAAAATAGATTTTATTAACAAAAGATAGACAAGATTGATCAACAACTGCTAAATTAATACCATAAACGAAAAAAGGAATAAAGTGCACAAGATGCATAAAATGCAAGTGATTCAGGTGGGTGTTGCTATGTCAGAGCTACATTATCTTATGGAAAGATAAACTGTTGCTACTCTGAAACAAATAAGGTGAAGAACCTTATTATGCATCAAACAAATAAATGAGCTATTATTTGTTATCAACGGCAATCAGCTATAGAATATCTAATGTGAATTAGAAAATCATATACTGATAATATCCAAACCTCTTCCAGAGACCTTGGCATTGTTGTATAAGTGATATTTACGTTCTCTGTGGTCGAGTGAGCAGTCCGATGGCGGTGACTTCTCTAGGATGGAGACTCAGGACGTACTGCATCTGTTGTTGTCTCGCTGGACAAAGACTCTGAATGAAGTCTGAACGTAGATTATCTCTTTCCTCGCAGGCTAGAGACTCAGAACGTGGTCGAATCTGTTGCTGCCTTGAAGCTGGAGACTCAGGACTTGGTATCTGTTATTGCCTCTTCCCTCACAAGCCAGAGGCTCAGAACGGTGGTGATCTGTTGCAGTCCTTTCCTTGACAGCAGATCAACCTCCGTTCTGAGTCCGAGTCCTATTGTCTCACCCTTGCAGGCAGGATACTCAGAATCAGATCTGTTAGTGTCCCTTCCCTTTCGGGACTCAAGACTCAGAACAGTGTATCTGGTAAAGTCTTTTTCATTGCAGTACTCCGACTCAGAACAAGGAGTGTCTTTTGGGAAGGTACCTTTATCTCTTTCCGATGAGGAGGAGATTGCAATCTGGCACTTCCACATTTCCAGGCTGTGATTGGCTGTTTCCATCCGAGGGGGGGACACAGTGTGGCCCACCCTTCTTTCCTCCAGTGGAACTTATTTGCATAGTCCAAACACAAAGTTAGAAAAGTGTCACTAATGTTTTACCAGTGCATTTTTCACATTCCATACCACAACCAGAATACATTTGGCAATGTTACGAGCACATTAAGTCCAAACATGATGGAAAAAGATTGAACTGTCATGCATGCATTCATTAGTCCATTAACAGCTGAGTTTGTGTAAGATGTTGCACTACACGTCGCTGTCACTGAGAATACTTATTTCTCTGAATAAGTATGAGATGTGTGTATTGCAGTTTGCACAGTTTAAGGTTTGAGAACATAGAGTTCCATCCAAATCCATGCATAACTGTGATCTCTCTCTCTTTGTTTTACCCACTGCTGCTGCATCCAGAGGTCCTGAGGAATTTTTATGGCGGTCACAGGCCAAAGCCTTAGGAATCAGTCTGTTGGTGGGTAAAGGGCAGAAACTGCATTTTGACCAATAGGAAGTCCTGTCCTTCCCAGGCTTTGTACCAAAGGTCTTCTTATTGCCCTCTAAGAGGTGTCTGGCTGTTGTCCTGGCATCTTTATCTGATGGCGTTGGACAGTTTGCTTATGTTAGTCCACCAAGATCCAATCAAAATGTAGCAAACCTTTGTCCACTATTGTGGTCAGAGAGGGGCCCCGCCATAAACTGGGCCCTGAAATGTGCTGTCCACTACACCGGATACAGCACTATATTCCTTTAGACACTTAAGTAATGGGGAAAATAATTAAGTTAAGAATAATAAGAGATCGTCTTCATATAGAGATAGTTTATGCTCATCTATGCCAAATGTTATACCAATAATTGATGGATCAGAGCAAATGGCTATAGCTAATTGTTCTATAGCAATTGCAAATAAACCAGGTGAGCTCGGGCATCCCTGCTTGCAACCTCTGGAAAGCGAGAAGGCATCCGACTAAACTCCATTAGTCAAAATTTGAGCCTTAGGGGCATTAAAGAGCGTTTTGATATATTGAATAAACGTATCCCTGAAATCCATCCTCAATGTGCATATGAGGAAATTTGGCTCTATTCTGTTGAACACCTTCTCAGCATCCATCGATACAATCATCATGGGATGTTCTCGTTTCTGAGCAGTATTAATTACATGGAACAATCTTCGAACATTCTCTGCTACCTGTCTGTTTTTGATAAAACCGGTTTGGTCTGAATGGATCATTTTTGGGATGACATTTTCTAGTCGCAAAGCAATTAATTTGGATAAGACCTTATAGTCAGAATTCAGTAAACTGAGAGGACTATAGGAGCCACATTCTTGCTGATCTTTTCCTGGTTTAAGTTGCAGTGTTATTGTCGCAACCTCCAGTGAATACAGTAATACTTGATTGTCTAGTGCTTCTCTGATCATGTTAGTTAAAAGGGTCAGCAGCTTTTTAGCGAATACTTTAAAGTATTGGATTGGAAATCCGTCCGGCCCCGGGTGCTTTATTATTCTGTAAAGAATTGATAGCACCGAGTACCTCCTCCTCAGATCTTCCAACATCAAGAAGATCTTTATCTACCTTATTAATTTTAGGGAGAGGTAGTCTATCCAAAAAGTGTTTTATTTCAGTATAAGTATTTTCATTATCAAAATAGCTTTTACACAGTGCTTGATAATATTTTTTAAATTCCAAATTTATGTCATTTGGATCTTCTAAACATCTACCATCCTCTGCCTTAATAGAATGGATATATTTTTCAGAATATTCTTTTTTAATTTGCCATGCAAGTAGTTTGCTTGTTTTATTGCCAAATTCATAATAGTGATCATTTGTCCTAGCCAAAGCTGCTTCAACCTTACTAGTGCATAGGTTATTATATAATACTCGTTTTTTAGTTAGAGCGTTATGAGACTCTGGGTTTTTTGTCAAGGAATGATCCTGCTCCAATATTCTGATGTCTTTTTCTAATTGGGATAATGCTTCTCTCCTTACCTTATTTTTATGTGCTACATGACATGATATGCCCTCTCATATAAGCCTTAAGGGCTTCCCAAATATTAGAATGAGAAGAGGAATTCAAGTTAGTTTCTAAGTATACATCAATGTGATTATTCATAAAAGTAATAAATTCTGGGTCTTTCAACAGATAGCCCCTGAATCTACATCTATAAGAAGCCGGTTCAGGTGGGCCTCACCTCTAGTTCCATCTTTATGGAATTATGCTCAGAAAGAGTAGCGGCTAAATGGGAGCAAGCTTTGACTTTTGACAAATTAATCTGTGGTGTCAGAAACATATCAATTCTCGAATAGGTGTTATGAACACTAGAATAAAATTAGTAATCTTTTTTATTTAGATGTAGTGATCGCCATGTATCACTTAAGCCTAGTTCTTTCATTCCTTGGTTAAGAGCTACTGCTGATTTAGATAATAAAAGAGATTTGGGTGAAGAACGGTCCATTGATGGATTTATAGAGTTTAACTTGAATCTCAGATTCTTGTTAATAAGCAATGCTACTTCTCTTGCCTTAGATGAAAATGAGGAATAAAAAACATGGCCCACCCAGTCCCTTCGTAACTTCATATGTTCAAGATCAGTGAGATGGGTCTCTTGAATAAATGCAATATTGGCAGATTGTCTCTTTAAGTATGTTATGACTTTCTCTTAATTGGGGAATTAATTCCTCTAACATTTAGTGAAATACAGTTTAATAGACCTGCCATATTGCTACTGCATAAGGGGCACACATATTTGTATTACATAGAGATTACACATATAAAAAACAACAACAAAAAAACCCCCCAGATAAATGGAAAAAAAAAAGTATTGATTCTGGACATTAATTGTGATATTACGATTACTGTGTTTGGTTAGACAAAAGCCCTATTCGCACGGGATTAGTATTGCCTGGTGACCTCCAGTCATTTGTAATAATTGCGGAGGTTGTCTGTGATCTTAAAGGGGTCATATGATGCGATTTCAAGTTTTCCTTTCTCTTTGGAGTGTTACAAGCTGAT